GCAGAGAATACCGGTGTTCTCCATGGCGGCCCTGAGATTGTCGAGGGTCTCCTGGTGATAGTCATGGGAACCGTGGGAGAAGTTGAAACGAGCAACATTCATCCCAGCCTTCAAGAGCTTCTCGATCATGGGGACGGACCTGGATGCCGGCCCCAAGGTGCAGACTATTTTAGTCTTGGGTTTCTTCTCAATCGGCAATCCCTCCATTTTTGTGATGGGGAAGAAGAATAAACGAAAGAGTATCAGATATTTCTGGGAGGAAGAAGAAGATCCAGAAAAATGGAAAATGAAGAGGGCGGATCGGATCGAAGAAGAAATTGAATAGGGAGGAAAAGCCAGGGAAGGCCTTCGGGTTTGATTTCTTGATAAACGAACAAGTACGAGTACGGATACGATTACATGGATTTTTGTATTGGAGGTCAACTCTAAATAAAGTCTGCAGCACCGCAGTATACATTCGTTTTTTTTTTTTTTTCGCTTCTTCTGTTTAAAGAAAAATTCATTCTATACCAATATGTTGTTCTTCTTCCCCTACATTTGTGAATTTGGGAATCAGTACTTTATCCTTTAGGCTATGGTTTAAACTCATTCTGGTCTAATTTTTGTCTAATTTATATCAATGAATCACCATGGTCATTCGTTTATACCTGCTTGTGCTTAATCTTTTTCTTTCTTTTTTTTTTTATTCATTTTTTTAGAAGAAGCTTGTGCTTAAATTTGTTGCTAGGTTTAGGTGTTTTTAATCTTCATTTATCAACACAGGATAAAATCAAGTTTGGAATCAATTTCCATAAATTTGTAATTTAAAAAACACAATAATGTATATATAATTTCATCCTTATTATATTTTGTAGTTTTTTTTCGAATGGAAATCGAACTCACAGCCTCTCACATCCTCTTAATTGGAGATATATATCAATTACTCCTGGACTATTAAATTTTTAGCTTATTATATTTTTGGTTACACTTATTTTGAAAATTTCAATTTTATCATCTAGAGATAAAAGACTATTTAATCACAGTTGTCTTTAAAAACAACATTGAATTTTAGAGAGAAAAAAAGTGATATGGTTTCTAAAAATGTTATTTCTATGAACATATTAAAAAAAAAGCAAAAAAGATACACCTTGTAACCCTATTTTGAAAAATTTTGAATAACTTCGGTTGGGAAATTAGGCGCTCAAAATAATATCAAGAAAGATAGGGAAAACAATAAAAACGACACAACAAATTTATATTGGTTCACTCCACCGTTTATGAGCTACGTCCAGTCTTCTGCTCAGATATGGGTTCCACTATAATATGAGATTGGAAATATTCGCTATATAGAGATTCCAACAAAAGTCTCATAGCTTCTAAGTATTTAACCCTGATCAAGGTTTTAAATGTCGATGTCGATAGAAATGTCGAGTTCTCAATTTCATGGAAATATCTATAAAATATCGATGTCCATGATTATTTATGTAAAAGTTAGAAAAATTAAAAACTCGTAAAAAATATTTAAATTAACAAATAAATATTTTCCTATGTCTAAATTAGTTAAAAATAACTAATATTAACATTACGTATATATTAGTGACATTTTGTTGATATTTTTCATATTTTGTCAATTTTATTGTATTATTATGAAAATGTCGATTTACCGCTCGTGTCGATGTCAAACCCATGAAAACATGAATATGTCGATGGAAATGTCGACGTGTCGACAGATATTTAGAACCATGACCCCGATATACTTAGGTACAAGGCATGAAAAACTCATAATAATATCGAGATACAGTTACCCCAAAACTATCAATCTCAATCTGCCATTTTTGTGTTCTACCAACCCGAGCCACTGCCATAAAATAGGTGCCAAAAACTCCCCAAAGTTAGCTGCAAAAGAATACCCACGATTACTCTTCAATTTTCGGCTCAAACCTAAAAAAGGAACACGATTCCCTTTTATAAATGTCGTCATAGCGTTGAGATGCTGGGCGTATCTCAATGCTACGACCAACAACATATATTATTTTTTTTTTTTCTGATTTCACATTGCAGCGCTAGTTGTCCTCTCAGTCAGAAGGCCTGTGCAATGCTTGATGCTCATTTTTGTTCGTTCCTTCGATCATCCCGACACATCCCGACTCAACCTATCTCTATCTCTAGCTCATTCTGACGTCGATTTGACTCCACCAATTCCAACAATTTCAAAGCTAAACTTAATTTCATAAAAATGAAACTAGAAAATAGCATAAAGTTCATTGACTAAATGATCAATTTAAACCATTATAAAAAGAGGCACTTGCAATTATAACAACAACAAAAAATAACACATTTATTTGCAAATATAGCAAGTTATTTTTAAAACACAAATAATAAAAGGTTAAATATACCCTAAAACCTAATATAACCTAATATACCTCTGTAACTCTGAAATATCATTATATTTGAACCACCATACATACTCGTATATGATTATCTGATTCTAATATACATCTAATATACCTACATTATGTATATGCTAATCTACCTTATTCTACCATATTGATATAACTGATATTTGTATGATGATGTATCAGTATTGATATAACTATGATATTTGTGTGATGATATCCATTGATATATGTCTGATACACACTTCTAATATGATTATCTTCGAGTCAGATTGGCGGTTTGGTTATCAAAACCTGACCCAGATATACCCCTAGTAAAGGTCATTTCTCATCATAATTTTTTTTTCTTTTAAGGTACAATTTCTCATCATAATTTGAACATTCCGATTCCGCCTATTAGTATAAATTAGTCCATAAAAATAATGGCCTGATAAGAGTTATCGACATCAATTGCATAAACAACGAATCTGACTCCAACTCCTACATCCGCAGATGGGGTGGGGTTTTCATTCCCACAACCCACAACAAAACTACACCCTCTGAGCACGATCATCTAACTCAACCAGGTACTTTTCCCGCCCATTGTATTCTGAAGAAATTATAATCTGTATGGATCAGAGTTCATCATGCTTCTCTGCCTCTTCTTTATTCAGCATGTCCAACTTGTTTTTCAGTTCCTATCAAACATTGCGTGGGTCCCGTCAGTGTGCAAAGTCTAATATTATCTAACAACATCGTGATCAACAGCAGACCAGCAGATATGCAACACAATAAATGGTACCTGAAGTTTTTCCTCTACACAAGCAGCTGGGGTTGATAACAATGCCATGTATCTGTCACAAACGCCCAATATGTTGTTAGTGAGACAGAGAGAGAGAGAGACGCGGGGCATGGGGGGTGGGAAGAGAGAATCTTACTCGCAACGGCTAGGTTCATCTACGTCAGTTATGTCATTTTTAAGCCCACATCTTAGCTTGACCTGAGGAATAAACATGGAACTGTCAGAAGAAGGAAGTTGATCAACCTTGCCTCCAAAATACGAGAAATGCATAGATGACCATAATTTTCAAGAAATTATCGTACGTCTAAAATTAGGTCAAACATATGATCAGGAAGTAATTTATTATCATGAAATAGTCAAATATGCAAGAAAATTTAAATCATTTTGTCCTTTGGCAAGTTTTAATTTTTTTACAAGTAAAGTTATTCGCAAGACACCTTCAAGCTTCTATCAGGTCCATTCCAGCAAGTATCCCCACTTGAAAAGATCATGACCCTATATGAGTCCTCAAATTTATCCCAGCGCCTGGTTGGAACAAAAAATTAATCATGTTAAGAAAAGAAGAGCAGAGTGAATATTACGTAGGCTAGTAACTTGAGATTTTATCTGTGAGAGGGATAACAAAAGTAAAATAAAAGAGTAGATCAATACTACGTTTACTAGTATACTTGAGAGACTAAATATGTGTGTGAGATAAGAGACTCTGAAGGTAGCAAGAGCTCCAATCAATATCCTAGCAGTCTGGTGGTATCTCAAATTTACACATAAAAGACTCCTTTTACAGTAAATATATAGGATACAGATTGCCAATGCCTTACCCCAAACGAGTTGTTGAGTGCCCCTCGACCTGTGAAGCTTGTTTGTAAGGGCAGATTTTGTAAACGTATCTGGACAAAGAACCGAGACTTGAGATTAACCACAAGAAAATAAAAGTTCAACCAGCACAAGAAAATCCTTAAAAGATGAGGAAAACTAAAACGTAAAATTAGCTACTTGTTCTGCTTGCTTTCAAAACATTGGTCATAGAATGAATAGAACTCCTTCTCTGAACCTGCAATTAGATAGAAACATGGAATAATAAATTAATATTTTGATATTCTAAGTTGATGTTGCATTATAAATGTGTAAACAGTATATCTCATAGTCATACTAACCAAAATCATTCTTCAGCTTCTGTGATAAACTTGAGATTCTTGACTGTATTTTTGATAACTTGGCACTGGACTCATCAAATTCCTTGCGCACATTAGCAGCATCTGATGAATGCAAATGCAACATAACAATTTTCATTTATACTCTTAAAGTTGCAGTCCAAGCATCAAACACCATGAACTTGTAAGCTTGTACCTGATTGGTTCACTGGAGACTGGAATATATTAACAGCTTTCAGGACATTTCGAACAGTTTTTTGTATCTTCTCAAGCCAGGAGGGGCTACTTTGGGTTTCCACATCTAGATATATGATAAAAAATGCAAGAAATATTTCAAAACTAAAGGCTTTATAGCAATAAATGAAAATAAGTTGGACAATAAGATAAACCTATTTTTCAACCTGGTGAGTCCAATTCTGTATCTGAATAATATCTCTCGGATGAAGCAGAATCATCATGATTTTCATCTCTGATATCTTCTAAATCATCCTCTAGGTCATCGCCGTATCTGTGGGTATCATCATCAGTCTCTGAAGCATAACCGTCATTGTCATGTGTATGTTTTAAGATATCATGGCTTTCTTCATCACTGTCATTCGTGCTATCCATATTCCCCGACTGTTCGTCAGTATTTTCTCCTGTCCAACGAGAAGCGACAAGGCGACCCAACTCTTCCCTCGACAATTCCTCTGAGCTAGCATCATTTTGCTACAAATTTCATGCAAATTGAATACAATTCAACGAGGAACCAAATATCATAGATTAGAACAAACGGTAGAAGAAATGGACTTGTAGATTTAAGTTGGAGGAGCCATTTTACAATAAGATGGCAGTCAAAGCATTAAAGGCAGACTCTCAGTGGCAGAAGTCATTAAAGGGAGTTTCTCTTTGAATATTTCAATTTCTCTCCAATATATCTGATATTTGCTTATCAAACATGTATGGCCCTACAGATTATAGAGAGAGGAAATCTTTTTGGGGTGAACTTCGGAATATTGCAGCCTTTAGCAAGAGTTTTTGGTGTATCGGAGGTGACTTCAATGCCACTAGGCAGATATCTGATGGATCATCGGGAGGAAGAATCAGAAAAGGGATGTGAAGATTTAACAGTATTATTGAGGAACTTGATCTCATGGAGGTGCCTTTATCAAATGGGAGGTTTACATGGTCTCGAATTGGAAGTTACAGCACTCATTCTCTTTTAGACAGATTTTTTATCTCAAAAGAGTGGGATATTCAGTTCAGCAATCCTAGAGTTGTTAGAGGAGAAAGGGTAACATCCAATCATTTTCCAATACTCATTGAAGCAGGGGGTCTTATTTGGTGTCCTAATCCATTCAGATTCTTCAACTCATGGTTAAAAGAAAAGGAGCGTCTTAGTCTTATTGAAACAAAGCTCTTGAAAGATACTTCTTGTGGCTGGATAGATTTCTCTATTTTCTCTGAACTAAGGAATCTTAAAAGTTCCCTTAAGCAGTGGCATTTGCTGAAGAAGCGAAAAGCTAAAGAAGAGCAGATTCTAACAGTTTGGCATCAGAAGAGGTATAAAAGAGGGCTTCCTTGCAACTTAGCTTGACTAACTTGTATATTACTGAAGAACAGAACATGTTCCAAAAGTGCAAAGTTCAGTGGCTGAAGGGAGGTGACGAGAACAGCAGGTTTTATCACTGGTTATTGGCTGCCAGAAGGAGAAAAGCTATAATTACAGATTTGAAAGATGGTCAGGGCAATTCTCTTTTGAATAATCGAGAAATTGAGAAAGAAGTAATCGGATTTTTCGAAGCATTATACTTATATGATGAAGCCTTAGGTTTTTGCTTAGTGGTGTAAATTGGAGGCCTATCTCAAAACAGAATCATCTGTGACTGGAAAGAAGATTTGATGAAGTTGAAATTTGGCAAGCTCTGAAAGGGTTGGGCAAGAATAAGGTTCCGGGGCAGTTGTGGAAGGGGGATTTCATGCGCTTGTTCGAGGAATTCTACAAGAAGGATCATATAAATGCTTGTTTAAAGGAGAATTTCATTTGTCTCATCCCAAAGAAGGAATTGGTTGAGCAAGTGAAAGATTTTCGGCCTGTTAGTCTTACAACTTCAGTATTAAAACTATAGCTAAGGTTCTAGCAGAAAGGCTCAAAAAAGTACTTCCTTCAACGATAGCATTGAACCAAAGTGCTTTTATTGAAGGAAGACAAATTCTTGATCCAATTCTAATTGCCAACGAGGCTGTTGAGTCCTATAAAGCTAGAAGCTTGACATCGAGAAGGCTTTTGACAAGGTGGACTGGGAGTTTTTACTTGATGTGCTACACCAAAAAGGTTTCAGCAAAAAGTGGATTTAGTAGATCAATGGCTGTATTAGAGGAACAAAATTTTCTGTCATCATCAACAGAAGACCAAGAGGAAGAATTCAAGCCTCAAGGGGTCTAAGACAAGGAGATCCCCTTTCTCCCTTCCTCTTTATTATTGCTAGTGATGTTTTCAGCCGTCTTTTAGAAAATATCAACTCAAAGGGAGTATATGAAGGCTTTGTAGTGGGAAATGATCTGGTCCATATTTCACATTTACAATTCGAGGACAATACTCTACTCTTTTGCAAAAATGATGATCAAATGTTGGAAATCTTATTTGATACTAACAAGGGCTTCGAATGGCTTTCCAGGCTGAAGGTGAATTGGGACAAATCTACAATTTGTGGGGTTGATACAGAAAACCAGAAAGTTTCTATGATAGCCCAAAAGCTCAATTGTAAGGTAAAATTCTTTCCTTTGCTGTATCTTGGCCTTCCATTGGGAGGGAACCCGAAATCATTGGATTTTTGGAACCCAGTCCAACAAAATATTTCCAAGAAGCTCCATAGATGGAAAAGACTTCATCTTTCAGGACGGGGTAGATGCTAAACAAAGAAACCAAAAACCCATGAAATAGATGGGATCTGAAGTCCAAGAACAGATGCTAAAATATTTCATCAATAAAGCTGGCCAATTCAAAAGGACTAACTGCTGAGGAAGAGTTAACACAATTGAAGCCTTTCAAAAGAAATATGAATCGGTACTTTCCAATATTCTGATTTATCACGTCTCTTTATGCCAATCGGTTTTTTTCTATATTCCGGTTTATCACACGTCTCTTTTTAAGATGCTGGTGAAAGTGAGTAAACAAATTGAGAAAAGTACGAGGAACTTTCTTTGGGATGATTATTCAAATGGTTGAAACACTTGGCTTTGGAGGATGGAGGTTTGGGAATAGGCTTTATGTTAAAACGAAATCGTGCTCTTTTAGCTAAATGGGGTTGGCGTTTCAGCTCAGAAGTGTCCTTTCTTTGGCAACGGGTGGTAGCTAGTATTTATAATATTGATTGTTTTAATTGGAACATGTTGCCTTTGAAAATATTAGATTCTTATTAAGAAAGGGTGACTGAGTTGCACTATTCTCTCTTCGTTCACTGTCCCAGTGGTATATCTCCTCCTCATCGCTGGAAGAATCTACTGGGATTTTGATGTAGTTACAAGCCCATTAGTTTTATTAGTTATTAGTTAAAGGCTGAAGTTAGTTGGTTAGCTGTTATTAGTTAGTTGGTTGGCTGTTTATTAGTTAGTTCTCGTTAAATGTCAATTGGTTGGCTGGTTATTAGTTAGTTCTTGTTAAATGTCAGTAGCCCTCTTCTATAAAATTTGTGGAGTAGTTCTTGTTGTCTTCATTTGTGGAGTAGTTTTTTTCGATCAATAAAATTTCTCTCATTTGGTTTACACCAAATTGGTATCAGAGCATCCAAAATTCAGGGCACTCAATGGTGGGAAAGAAACCAGAAATCATGGGCGATTCGTCCCTCATCAAAAAAGAGGCAGAGCATATCACTGTCCTCTCACCACGAACTACAACCCGATGCTTGTTGTCGGTTGAAGAAGCAACGGACAATATCCATAGGAATGTAGGTGAGATGAAAAATGCTAGTCACGATCACAGAAAAAACTAAAAGTTTTAAGCTTGCAACAAAATCAACCCGTATGTTCAACCAAGAAGATTGCAAGAACCAAGATTCATTCCACAAGAAACCAATCAAAATCCCATATTTCAGAAAATAATCGAGTTGGATTTTGATTCAAGCGAAGAAGGAGTCAATTATGAAGGTCGGTCTTTAATCAAGAACCAACACCACACAAAATTTCAGCAACCAAAAAGTTCAAGCAACAATCTTGGAGTTCGTACAAATTTTAACAAATTAGTTTCATACAAGACTGAGGTATTTTGCCAACAAACTCCAAACAATAGCTGTGAAATTTTTCGTTCTTCTTGTACAAAACTCCCAACAACTAGAGGAAAAAACCCAAGTGATACCTTAACCAAGATGGGAAGATTTTGCCACCAAGAGTGAAGACACTTCTGCATAAGACCAATAGAAATTTCAGAGGATGCAAGGGGTAACTCAAATTTGCCTCAAGTTGATGCCTTCGATGTTGATTTCAGAAATTATGGAATCCAAAACTCTTTTCAGATTGAGATTGAGGCAATTGAACAAGAAGATGAGTTTTTTCTGAAGTTCGAAAACTATTTTGATGAGGAATATGAGGTTGATAAATAATTGATAGGAACGATGATTCTACTTTTTCTTTGGCTACATTGTTCTTTGAAGTTGAAATGCAAAATGTTAACGGACACAATTCTTTAATTTCTCAAGAAGGCTTCCAGATAGAACAAGAAAATGAGAGGGAGAAAGATGAGGAACAAACTACGAATTTTTTCCACCACGATAGATCTCAAGAAAGCAAAAACGAAGGGTTCTTGGTTCAAGATTCTGATTTTTCCAGCAGAGAAGAAGAATTTTTCTGTGGGTTTGTAGATTATTTTAATGATATTGAAGAAGATTCTCATAGGAGTGCAGAGATTGAAAGAGATTGAAGGAGATGAAAGAAGCTTGAAGCAAGAACATATCACAAAGTCTTTCCTTCACATAAGACTTCAAGAATGTAGATATGAGAAGGAGTATTTTTGTTTGGATGAGTTAAAAAGCGCATTTTCGGTTGGAGTATTTTTGAACCACAAGAAAAAGCAAATTTCCATTTTAAAGATTGTTCACAGCCTTCTACCTCCATTGCATTTAAACTCGAGGACGAGTTTTTTAAGAGGGAAGGAAACTGATGTAATCACCAGTCCATTAGTTTTATTAGTTATTAGTTAAAGGCTGAAGTTAGTTGATTAGCTGTTATTAGTTAGTTGGTGGGCTGTTTATTAGTTAGTTCTGGCTAAATGTCAATAGCCCTCTTCTATAAAAGCAGTTGCTGTCTTCATTTGTTGAGTAGTTTTTTCCAATCAATAAAATTTCTCTCATTTGGTTTACACCAGATTTCTTGTCTTCTATGAAAATGAACGTTTCTCTGGTGATTAAGAGAATAAAGCTAGGTTCTTGGAGTATTCTTGAAGCAGCTGGTTCATGATCTTGGAGCATTCTTGGAGCAACCGGTGGATGATCTTGGCCAATTCTAATTCCCGGCTCCCGTAGCTCTCTATCTTGGTCCAATCTTGGTGGATTCCGTTGCAATTTAACGATTCTAATTGTTCTACAGTCGTACTCAACAGTTGACAAATCTCGACCACATTCCGTTGGAGGTTTTCTACAGCCCCCTCAACGATCATTAAATGACTGGTTGTGGATCGTGGGAAGATGACGGCGGTTGATTCCATCTCTTCTCCAATGAGAGAAGAGTCTCTGAAGTTGGAGATACTTTTCTTGCCGCCATTTTGAGTCCAAGATTGAAGGAGATCTGATACCAATTGACGTGAACCAAAGGAAGAAATAGAATTATTATTATCTGAGGAACTGACAAAACAGGGGGGAGAGGCCTCCTTTTATAGGCAAGGCCCTCAGACAGAATTGACAATAGCTGTTTAGGCTTTTAACTAACCCAACAGAACCTAATAACTAACTAAAGTAAACATAATATGAATAAAGGATTACATCAAAGAGGAATCTCAGAATTTTTGAAGACAAGAAGCAATCTCCGGAGATGCGTTTCAATTTAACTAAGTTTAAAGTTTCTCAATGGTGTTCCCTATCTTCTATTTTTAAAAGTTACACCCTAGCTTGATTTGTTCTAATTGGGGAGTTTTATTGTACCTTTTTAATTTTTGTTATTTCTTTCTTCACTCTTTCGAGAGTTTGTACCTTTCAATATTTTGTTCCTTTTCATTTCTTCAACCAGAAGTTAGTATCTTGTTCAAAAAAAAAATCAAAGGGACCCTCCAAATTCCCAGTCTTTCTTTTTCCTTTTGTTCAAAGCCTGAACATCTTTTCTTTCTTTAACAAATCCAATCTGACCATCTTTTTCATTAATTTCGGCAGCTGTAATGAGATTTCTATCGAGGGAACTGTCTATATTCTCTTCATTAACTACCGGATAGGCTTTAATCTGTACAGCTTCTTCAGTCAAACCAGCATACGAAATTCTTTCAAAATGTCTTGCCACCAAAGGAACTTCCTTATATAATAGACTTGGCAATTGAGGAGACCTTTCATCTTCCATGATCTTTGGAATTCTCTACAAGTCAAGAGGGTTTGAGAAGTTTTATATGTCAAGATTGGTTAAGCACATTCTCCTAAAGACGCCTTATTACTTATCAGCAGTAGAGATTCGAACTTTGAAAGTCCTTAGACGTGGATCCGAAATATCAATCGGAGCAGGTAAGAAATTGCAAAAATTATCTTTAATACATAAGGACTGCTGAACAGTCGATTTACATTCAAAGTCATAGAGACCTCCTCCAGACCTCCTAGATACTCTCTCAGGGCTTAGGACTGTAGTTTCCAATGCTTAAATGGTAAGTCCAAGATCTTAATCCAGCCACCACATACTTTTTTTTTTTTAATAAGATACAAACTTTTCATTGATGAAATGAAAAGGAACAAAATTGTTCAAGGATACAAACTCTCACAAGAGTGAAAATATAAAATAAGAGAGAAGAAAAGTTAAGAAAGACATAATATACAGAAAAGGCATAACGAAGAAATCTAAAAAATACAAGAACTACTTTAGACTAATGAAAACACCTCAATTATTAAAAATAATTGAAGGGGAATAATGTGAAAAGGAATCCGCCAAAGAACACAACTTAGAGACCTTAAATTTGGTTGAATTGAGACAATCGAACAAAAATCTTCACTTGCCCTTAAAGAGCCTTGTGTTCCATTCAAAACATAATTATGAGAGGAAGCTTTTAACCGCATTAATCCAATAACAGCCACCACATAATGTTACAAACTCCTTTCTGCTATGTTCAACAAAATCCCATCACCTTCGCCTCTTCTTGTTTGTTATCTTGCTGCATAGTAACCTATTGTCTTACAGCTTCAACATAACCTTATCCTCCAAAAATGGATTGATCAAATAGTCTTGCGAGAACTCTTCTTTTACAGCAATCGAAATTAACTTCCAATCTTCGTGCGCACAACACTGTAATAACCATTAAATTATCCCAGTCCAAATCCACTACCTCGGATTCTTTTTTGACCAAGAATGATTTTTTAGTTTCTTCCCAACTTTAAAAGTTCTCCTCTTTTTGTCTGCCAAAACCTCTACATGGGAAGGATGAGAAAATACATCTTTCCTCTCCATTGAAGCTTCCTGCATCCTTGAAGCTCCAATCGTCCATGAAAAACCAACATTTTGCATGTCCCAAAAATTTAACCATCCGCTTTTTCAAGGACTCGCAGCGATTGAGATCCATTTCCTTCCTCCAGCAGGAGGCCAAACGGTTAAATTCAACGTATGGCTTCAAATCATAAAAATATTTCTGAATTTTGAATGTACCAGATTCATTTCTAATCTGATTAGAAAAGGCCATTTGTTTCGACAACTGCACCATATCAATCATCTGAGCTTCAAACCAAACCAACGACTGAAAATTCAAGAGTAGAACAGCACTGCATCGCATATCTTCCACAAAAATCTCCTCATCTTCTGACCATAAACAAAAATGTGTATTTTCCACACAGTAGCCGTTAATTTCCATGATATGAGTATCAAAAGGAGAATAAAACTTGGACTTTACTAATGACGAACTGCGAATCTCTACAAACAAATTTCAAGCAGACCCTAGAACGAATTGCTACACGAGGAAGAAGAGAGAGAGAGGAGAGAGAAGAGAGCATTTTTTACCAACCTATATTTTCATAGTAATGTGATGAAATAGAATAAAACAGCACAGCAAGCCACATTTTATTAAATATATCAAACTTCAATCAAGTTTGCTGAAAGAAAATGCTGTCATCTGAATTTAAATACCCTCTTCAAGACTTCTTCAGATGATTTTTCAGTGCCAGCACTTTCTCCAGTTTCAGATTTAGCCAGGGGTTTGCCATTCTCTTCTGCTGTAGCCTACAACAAAATATCAAAAGAACATAAATTTTTATGATTTAGTTATAGAGCACCACCAATAGCTAATGGACACAAGCACAAGAGATTAAACATTTAAAACATCATGATTTCACCTCTTCTTCCTTTTTCAGCGATGATGCTTCGATTCCAGGTTTATTAGGAAGTTGAGTTTCAAGTCCTAAGTCAACTTCGACTTCCACGCTAGCCTGCTAAAAAGGGCACCAATATGACAACTGAAGTTCACATTTTACCAACAAAATCCCATAATCTTTCTATATAACTAGGTCTAAATATTGGAAACCCGCTATAGTCTATGCATTTATTCAATAAATTGCAAGATATATTTCAGATATAGAGCCTTTAAGGATTTTTTATCTATTTCTTAAACAAAATCTCCACAAGGACAGGGTCATATCTTCCACTCTCCAATGAATTGACTCTTCTTTCCTTCCATATGGACCAAAGAATAGCCAAGGAGTATAATCAGATAGCTTTCTTCCTTCTACCATCAGTCACCTCTGTTTGCTCAACAAAGATACCATGTTCATTTGTATTTTTTTGAATCCATGGTAATCCATCGTTGGAATGAATCTGCATAAAAACTTATGGCTTGAAGGCATAGTGATAAGATCATCCAGAAAATCCCTAATCCATGATACTAGCTCCCGCTCAAGAGTTAGCTCATTCTGGCTGGAACTATGCCTTTCAACCAAACTAATTTTATTATCCCTCTTCTCTCTTCAAAATCAATTTTAAAATTAGCTCAATTTAAAACTTATGCACTGGAAACCTAACATTTTCATATCGACAAAAAAAAAATGCATGGAGGAGCCATAGCCACACAGAAGAGAAGATTAGAGAGGTAAAAAATACTTTATCCCAAAACCTCCCAAAAATAAGGGAACTCTCTATCTTCACCTACATAAACTCTTCTGTTCCTTTTTAGCCACAGTTTCCCAAATGATGCCATTCACCATATAAAACCAAAGAGTTTTAGTCCCCTTCCTCAAAGGATTACCATCAAGGAGTTGAAGAAGGTCTGCCCAAAAAGGATTCCGGACTAACAAAAGTGCCAAAGCTTTCCATCATAAGAGGGAGACTGGCATTTCCAAGCAAATGAGCAATGAACAAACGAGTGATTTAAGTTCTCTTTCTTTTCTTTTTTTTTTTCCTTTTCTTAACAAGGTACGAAGTTTTCATTGATGTATGAAAAGGAAAAATTGTTCAAAGATACAAACTACCATAAGAGTGAAAAATAAAAATAAATAAAGTACATTTAATGGCATAAAAAAGCTTCCCAAGAAGTATAGATGGTGATGGAAGAATAATCCTTAAAAAGGGGTGAAATCGAGCACCATTGAGATGCTTTAAACTTAGCAAGATCAAAGCATTCAAACCAAACCCTTCCATTATCTCCAAAACTCATATATTAAGGCTTTAACGGCATTGGTCCATAATAATTGGCCTTTTGGAACTTTTTCTTCATTCTTGGAGACTTCCTTCGATTTCCTTCCAACTCTTCGTCTGCCTCACTGAATACAACAATTAGATTTGAAGAGATTTCCTCATTTCAATTTATTTTCTTGGTTAAGAGTTCCTCATTTGAATTTATTTTCTTGGTTAAGAGTTGGAGATTTCCTTCCAACTCTGTCTTCCAACTCTTGTGATGAGAATATCTTACTTTTCCGCCCAGAATAGAAAAAAGGAAGAGGCTCAATAAGAACTCTTGGTTTCTTCATGCTTAAGAATAAAGCAGCTCCTTTTCGACTTCCCTTTGACCTTTTAATTTAAGTATTGACTTGAAATTCAGCTGGCCCATTAATGCAAGAATCGTTGAGAGCAGAGGGATAGGGACCATCTGAAAGTCATTTTTTGTAGGAGTTCCCAATGTACCTTCCAGATTCTCATTAATGACAGGTTTAAACCCTACTCTTTCCGTGTTAATGGTGCCCTCTTCCTGCCAACTTCTTTCATAAATATAGAAGAGTTGCCCTTCAAGGACTCTTCATCTTCCCAAATCTTCTGATACCTTTGAATGTCCAAAGTATTCGAGAGGTTTTTATTCAAATTCCTCTTGAATCTCATATTTGAAACACTTCCGGAATCATTTACAACAACCACACGAACCACAAAATTTCCAAACTTTAGAGATGTTATTTCAATTGAAGCAGGTAAGAAACCACATTCATTGTCTCTACTTGAATCAAGGCTTCTAAGCAGTCCAAAAAATGTAGGGTTTTTAAGGATATTTTCTTTATACCGCCAATATGGGTTCTAATAGCATCAAAACACTGCGTAATCCAGAAATTAAGAGGTAAGTCGCAAATTCTTACCCAACCTCTATACCCTAAAATCACTTCCTTC